AACCACAGAAAAACCCTGTCTCGAAAAACCAAGAAAAAAAAAAGTTTGTTAAATGGATAAAACAAAAACAAAACAAAACAAAAAAGAGTCGAAAATCTTAAGTAATAAAAATATGTACAAAATATATCCTTTCCTATAACGAGGTTGCCTGTGTTTTAATACATTAGTATAAAGCATGTAGGAGTCTGGGGAGTATTTGAAAATAAAAAGCCGCCAGTGTCGCTTAACTGCCACTGTAACTAAGCATAGGTTATGCTTCCTCTGTTGGATACCTTTTCAGTGAATTGTTTTAATGTACTCAAAGTATATTTAGGCCAATTTTCTCTCATATATTGTTATGGGGTACTTAGTGGCGAGGGGCGGTGCTGAATACAGGTCTTGGGGCTAGAGAGATAGCTTAGTCGTTAAAAGTATTTGGTCTCTTGCAGAGCCCAGATTTGGTACCCAGCCCGGACAAGGCGGCACACAACCTCTTGTAACTTCTGCGGGGGAAATCTGATGCCCTCTTCTGGCTGCTGCAGGTACTGCAGTGCTGGACACAGGCATACAAACAGGCAAAACATCCACATTCGTACAAAACAAAATGAAAGAAAAAAAAATCTAATTTGGGTGGCTGGGGAGACGGCTCAGTGGGTACGAGCACTTGGTATGCAGGCTTGAGGATCTGAGTTCAGATCCCCAACGCCATGATCAAGTACATGCGAGGGGTGGGAACTGGAGGAGGATGGGTCACTGGGGGCTTGCTGGCTGCCAGCCTAGCTCAGTTCAGCAGGAGACTCAGTCTCAAAGGAATAAGGCAGAGTGAGGGGAGAGCGCCAGACGACTTTCTCTGACCAATGTCTACAGATGCACCACACAAAACTTACCACACGTGTACACAACCACCACACAAAAAAACACAAAAAAAAAAACACACAAAAACAAAAACAACAAAAAAAGACACCCACAAACACAACTGCCACACCCACAGACACACCCACAAACACACCTGCCACACCCCACAGACACCCATAGACACACATAACATGCACATACACATACAGACACATCTACCATACCCAAAGACACACCTACCACACACACACACCTACCATATACACACATCTACCACACACATACACAACCACTACACACACACAGAGACACCTACTAAATACACACATACAGACACACTTAATACATGTACAGACACCCACAGACACAGCTACCACACACATACACACCTACCACACACACACACTTACACACACATATACAACCACCACACACACACTCACCTACCACATACACACTACAGTCACACCTAACAGAGACACCCACAGACACACCTACCACACACATATACAGATACACCCATCACATAACATACACAACCACTCACATACATACCTACCACATACACAGACACACCTAACACAAACACACACCTAACACACATAGCTCTCTCTCTCTCACACAGACACACACCACACAAACATATGTACACACAAAATCTAATTTCGACCCTGATAAAATACAAATTATAATTTCTTTATACTATTGAGTTCTTCAGTCTGGGAACATGATGTATTTTTCTCTTCTTGTGTCTTTTTTTTATGACCTTCAGTAACTTTTTATTTCCATCATAAAATACACGCAGGGATTTTCACTGTATTTACTCCTGGGTATTTGATTATTCATGTTGCCACGGTGAACATTAACACAAAAAAATGAAATCGATTATTGCTGACATATAGAAAGGCTGCAGATTTTGGCATATTTCCTTTTTAGCCAACTGCCTTGTGAGCCCTTATATAGTCTGTTATTTTCCTGAGTTCATTTTCTTGTTGGTCTGTATATGTTGTACCTCACAGGAAATGATCATTTAGAATCTTTTGCAAAATGTTTCTTAAATGTTGTTTTGTTTTAATCTCATTAGCCATTAATTCGTACACAATGTCAGCTGATGGCATTGAGTCAGGCTTGTCTTGGTTCCTATTAGATGAAAACATTTTATTATGTTAATGGAAACCTTTTGTTTTATTTTTGGAGATAGGGTCTCACAATGCAGTCCTGGCTGCCCTGGAACTCACTCTGTAGACCAGGCTGGCTTCAAATTCACAGAGATCTGCCTTCCTCGGCCTCCCAAGTGCTGGGATAAAAAGTGTGCACAACTACACCCAGCTAATGGACTTTTAATTCTTCCTATTTTTTAATTTATTAAAAATAGATTCCAACAAAACAATTTAAAATACGTGTGTGTGTGGGGGGGGGTTGTGTGCAAGAGTGAGTGCCCGCAGAGCCGGAAGAGAGTACTGGCTTCATGTCCTGGAGCTGGAGTTACAGGAGGCTGTGAACGGTCAGATGTGGCTGCTGGGAACCCAGCTCATGTTCTCTACAGGAACACACAGCATTCCACTGCTAAGTCATCTCTCCACCCCTGCTCTTTATTTGCAGAGGGTTTCTGAGTGGAAGAGGACGCTGCATTTTACTGTTTTATCATCCACAAAGATGAGCATTCAGTTCTCCCACTGGACACACTAATCTGATGCTTACTGATAGAACAGTCTGCAGCCCCACAGCCAGGCCTTCCTGCCAGGCTTAGACTAGAGCAGGAGCTCACATGAGTCTGCCCCAGAGATGGGTCCCACCACTGCCCTCCTCTTCTCACCCCGCCCATGGCCACTGTCACCGAGAGCCACGCTGTGGTCCTCTGCGGTGTGAAAAGAGATGGCAAACACATGGTGAACACTGATACCCATTCCATAGACCCAGGCACCCAAGGGTCACAAAGAAACGTGAAAGTTCATTCAAGCCAGGAGCAGATCATCAGACGAACCGGTAAGAGCCAGTTTCACAAATGTTTTCACCAGATACACATCAGTGAAAACTCAAAGAGCCAAAGCAGTCTCACTCCTATGAAAATATGTTAAAGAAGCCGTCGCAAGAATGCACGGAGAAGGGAGTCCCAAGAGTGTGGAAGTCATGGAAGGCCAGGGCAGATTTAACTCGAACCCTGGAGCCCTCTGTGGCAATCCATTTCAAAATCACCCCTGCAGAAATGCAAGGTCACAGGATGGTCTACGCGGGCACCTCACATGAAGGGGGACCCCTTTGGAGAGGCTAGCCCTCTACCAATGGAACGTGAAGACTTTAGTCAGTGTGAGTGCTATGTTCCCCAACCACTGTCTACACAGCAGTCTGAACCACTGTGACAGAAAAAAAAAAAAAGGAATTTAGGGGCAAAGGAAAAAAATGCGTGCATGCCCTTCCTTAAGTATGTAAATTAAGCTAAATAACAAGTTTGGTTTTTGTCCTATTCCTCGTGTGTGTGTGTGTGTGTGTGTGTGTGTGTGTGCGCGCGCGCGCGCGCGCGCCTGAGGTGGATATCAGGACTCTTCCTCGATTGGTCTCCACCATATTCACTGAGGCAGGGTCTCTCAGCCGAACCCAGAGCTTGCTATGGGGATCCTATCTCTGCTAACATCATGCCCACCTGGCTTTCTGGTGGTTTCTAGGGATTCAAACTTGAGTTCTCAGGCTTGCACAAGCGCTCTTACCGGTGAGCCGTCTCCCCCGTCTCTGTCGGGTATTTTTATTTGTTGAGACAGGTTCTCACGGGACCTAAAGTCCTGGCCCTCCTGCCTTAGCCTCCTCAGTGCGGGGGTCTCAGCTGTGGACACCACAGCCAGCGTCACTTTAGTTTTCGGAGACAGGGTCTTGCTATATATACAGTCCAGGTTGGCCTCAAGCTCACCATTCTTCTACCTCAGCCTCCAGAGTGCAGGGTTACAGAAATGTGCAACCATACCTAGCTTCGGTCTCAATAATTAAACATTATTGCCAGAACTAAATCTCTGCATCTTTTAAATTTTTCTGCCTATATGGCTAGCTTTTGTCATAAAGGAAGTAAACTCTATACAGAGTTGCTTCAATGCCCATCATCTTCTCTGAAGTAGATTGGTGCTGTCAGGAGCAGACAAGTCTCATTGTCATGAAAAGCCTTAGGTTATTAAACATAATAAATACCACATTTTGTAGGTCTTTGAAGACCATCTATCTATTTAAATGTTTATGACCATAAAAACATATCTAACATGACTGTAAGTTTGACTATTATAGATGACTATTAATTTATATTTAATTATACAATATATTTTTAAATGAGCTGCATAGACATAATACCGCAAACAAGAGTAAAAATATACAGTATAACAAAATTAACATTAAACTTGTATCAATATAAAAAATGCATA